AATGTATCTCGTGTGTGTGTGTGTGTGTGTGTGTGTGTGGTTTTTTCCTTAATTGTGGTTAAGTCCACATGAAATATACCACTGTAACCATTTTTAAGTGTACAGTTCAGTAGTGTTAAGTGCATTGACATTGTTGTACAACCAATCTCCAGAACTCTTTTTATCTTGGAAAACTGAAACTATACAACTACCCACCCACCCCCACCCCCAGCTTCTGGCAACCACCATTTTAGTTTCTGTCTATGAATCTGACTACTCTAGGTACCTCACATAAGTGTAATCATTACAGTATTTATTTCTTTGTGACTGGCTTATTTCACTTAGCATAAAATCCCCAAGATTCATCCATGTAGCCTATCAGAATTTCCTTCCTTTTTAAGGCTGAATGATATTCCATTGTATGTATATACCACATTTTGTTTACTCATTGGGTTGCTCCCACCTTTTGGCTATTATGAATAATGCTGCTGTTAACATAGGTGTACAGATATGTCTTTGAAACACTTTTTGAATTCTTTTGGGTATATTCCCAGAAGTGGAATTGCTGGATCATATGGTAATTCTGTTTAATTCTTTGAGGAACTACCATATTGTTCATAGCAGCTGCGCCATTTTATATTTCCACCAAGAGTACACAAAAAGTCGTCTCCACATCCTGGCCAACATTTGTTTGCTTAATAGTAGTCATTCTAGTAGGTGTAAGGTGGTATCTCACTGTGGTTTTCATTTGAATTTCCCTAATGATTAGTGATGTTGAGCATCTTTTCATGTGCTTGTGTCCATTTGTTATCTTCTTTAGAGAAATATCCATTCAAGTCCTTTGCCCATTTTTAAATCAGATTTGTTTTTCCAAAATGTATCTTGATTATTTTTTCTACTCTCACTTTCACCATCCAAGCACCTGTGGATTTTCATGTAGACAATACTTCTTAAATGGACTCCCTGATTCCAATGTTATTTCTTTCCTTTTCATTCAGCATAATGTAGCCAGAGTGATTTTCTGAAAATACAAATTCTAACATGTCACTTAACCTGCTCAGAATTGTCCAATGGCATTCCATTGCTCTTCAGAAAAAAAAAATCCATGAGTCCTGGTCCCTTATGATGTAGACCCTGCCAATTTCACTCTCCTTCTCTCTTATCATACTCCCCTTTGATCACTGTTGTCAGATGCACTGGCCTTGTAGTTTCTGGAATATGCCATGTTCCTTTCCTCCGTAAAGCCTTCACACATACTCCCTCCACCTGAAACACTTTTCCATCTACTCCCCTCATTCACCTTATGGGTTATAACTTAAATTTCACTTCTCCACAGAGGACCTTCCTTAACCTCCTTCCTTGATCTAAATATCCTCCCATTATAGTATCTTAACACACTTCCCTGATATCACCTATCAATATTTGTAAATATGTATTTATTTTTGGATTATTTATTACACATCTCTCCACTAGATTATAAGCTTTAAGAGCAGAGACAAGTCTATTTTTCTAATATTATATCCCAGGATCAAATCATACCTGATATAAAGAAGTGCTCAATATTTGTTAATTGAATAAATGAATACCAAAGATAGGAAGAATGCTTAGAAATATTAATGTGTTCAACTTTATACTAATACATTTGAAATTTTAAATTAGATGATTTCCCCAAAAAGTTAAATATAAATTACCAAAATTAATTCAGGTGGAAGTGGCAAATCTAGACAAACCAATTAACTGTGAAGTCACTGAAAAAGTTACCAGAGGTAAAATTACAAGGTAAAGACAAATCATCTTTATTTGCAGATAGTGTGATTGTTTGGAGAATGAACTATAAAACTATTAGATCTAACAAGGTAATCTACTTAAGTATCCTATTGCATGCTAAATATACAAAAATTATTAATTTTCATATACATCATCAGTAAGCAATTTAAATACCTAATTAAAAATACCTTATCTTGGGATGCCTGAGTGGCTCAGTCGGTTGAACGGCTGCCTTTGGCTCAGGTCCTGATCCCAGTGTCCTGGGATCGAGTCCTGCATTGGGCTCCTTGCTCAGCGGGGAGCCTGCTTCTTCCTCTGCCCATCCCCCTGCTTTTGCGCTCTTTCTCTCTCTCTGACAAATAAAATCTTTTAAAAAGCAACAAAAATATTTTGTACTTAGGCATAAATTTAATTAGATCTACACAGGACTTACAGAATGAAAACCTTATTGAGAAACCTAAAACAAAAAGACTTTACTAAATTGAAAGACATGGAAAGATACCCATGTTCATGGATGGGAAGGCTCAGTATTTTTAAATGTCAATTACGCTGCCAGTTCATTTGTATATCTTAAACTGGCAGCCTTGATAGAGGATTTTGAAAGTTCATTTCAAAAGGATTGATGTATGAGAAAAGCCAATACATTTTATTTTTATTTTTATTTTTTTAAGATTTTATTTATTTGAGAGAGTGAGAGCATGAGAGGGGAGAGGGTCAGAGGGAAAAGCAGACTCCCCGCTGAGAAGGAAGCCCGATGCAGGACTCGATCCCGGGACTCTGGGATCATGACCCGAGCCGAAGGCAGTTGCCCAACCACTAAGCCACCCAGGCGCCCCAAAGCCAAAACATTTTAGAGTATTCGTGACAGAATGTGTTATTACAGTGAACAAATGGAGAAGGAATTGGCAGTCTGATTAGTGGAACAAAATACAAAGTCCAGAAAGGTCCCAAGCGTTAATAGAAATTTAATTTTTTTATAAAGTCTTTTTTTTTAAGATTTTATTTGAGAGAGAGAGAGAGCACATGAGACGGGGGAGGGTCGGAGGGAGAAGCAGACTGCCTGCTGAGCAGGGAGCTGGATGCGGGACTCGATCCTGGGACTCCAGAATCATGACCTGAGCCGAAGGCAGTCGCTTAACCAACTGAGCCACCCAGGCGCCCGAAATTTAATTTTTTTTTTAAATCAGCTCAATGTTGTTTTTTTTAAAGATTTTATTTATTTGACAGAGAGAGACAGCCAGAGAGGGAACACAAGCAGGGAGAGCGGAAATTTAATTTTTGATAAACATAGCATTTCAGGAAAAAATAGATGATTTGGTCGGAAGTGGTATGTTAAAGATTCACAAAAGAATATGGCCAATATACAGGAAAAAGATGTTTAATCACTAGTAAAGAAATATATATTCAAACTACTAGACATTTCATTAAATTGACAGATCAAAAATGATACAGCAGGGTGAAGGGAAAAAGGGCATTCCTTAGAAACTGCTGTTGGGAGTGTAAATTGATAAAATCTACAACTCCTCTGGAAGTCAGTTTGGCAGTGGGTATCAAATGTCTTAGAAGTGTGCATACTTTTTTTTTAAAGATTTTATTTATTTATTCATGAGAGACAGAGAGAGAGAGAGGGAGAGAGAGAGAGAGAGAGAAGCAGAGGGAGAAGCAGGCTCCCAAGGAGCAGGGAGCCCGATGCGGGACTCCATCCCAGGACCCTGGGATCATGACCTGAGCCAAAGGCAGATGCTTAACCATCTGAGCCACCCAGGCGCCCAGAAGTGTGTATGCTTTTTGATGCAGAATACCCTTTGGCAGAAGCTACCCACAAAGATCTTGCAACATATCTGTTCATTACATTATTATAGACAAAAAAATTGTAGGAAAAAAAGAATCTAAATGTTCAACAAGTTAATGTAAAAAATTTTTTAAAACTATGGTATTTTTGTTAAAAGAAGTAGCCATTTAAAATGTTGTGTATCTATTGATAAGCGAAGATTCATATTCATAATACTGTCTGAGAAAAAGCAAGTTACCAAATGTGTCAAAAAAGGTTTGTCTGTAAATGTGTGTGGGCCTGGAAAGATAAGTCCTAGAACTTAGCAATTGTTTTGGGGGAGGAAACATCAAATCATTTTTTTAATTGAACACGCACTGCTTTTGTTTGTTCATAAAGAAGAATAAAGGGAAACTTCATGTTTAAATGCTACATTAAAAATAGTGAAAAACAGGGGCACCTGGCTGGCTCAGTCGTTAAGTGTCTGCCTTCGGCTCGGGTCGTGATCCCAGGGTCCTGGGATCGAGCCCCACATCGGGCTCCTTGCTCTGTGGGGAAGCCTGCTTCTCCCTCTCCTACTCCCCCTGCTTGTGTTCCCTCTCTTGCTATGTCTCTCTCTGTCAAATAAATAAATAAAATCTTTAAAAAAATAGTGAAAAACAGAAGCATAAGTTATTGAAAATTATAATTATAGAAACTGAAGAAATTGAGCCAATTGGAATAGGAATAAACAAAATTATCTATGATTTTAACTGTCATATAATGTATGTATATTGAAGAAACAGGAGACAGAAAATGAACATAATTGATTAGGATGATAGGATTGTAAGCAATTTTTCCCCTTGTTAAATTTTTTAAATAAAAATTTATAACAGATTTTGAACCCAGTTCATTCAAGCTTCACAACAATGATGAAAAAGTAGAGACCAGTGACAATGCCAAGAGATGGATGGTATGGGTGAGGGGTAAGCTTTAAGCCTTCCATAATCACCAATTATTTCCTATAAAGCTTAACCAGAAAAAAAACAACAGCCTTATATTTACTAAGAAACACAGCTTCAAGACAAGTTCCCTTTTATACAGAGATTCTGGAGCCTCAGTACTAGAGACCATTCCATTAACACCACAGACCCCAGGTGTATTTTTCTGTGTTGTACATTTTCTTCCCCCACCCTTTTTTTTTTTTTTTTTGAAATGTTTAAAGAGCAATTTAAGTTTCACAGCAAGATTGATGAGTAGTTGAAGAGACCTCCCATATATCCCATACCCCCACAAAAGCAGAGCCTCCCCCATTATCAACATCCCCCACCAGAACGGGATTGTTACAATTGAACCTGCATTATGCATCATTACCAAAGTCCATGGTTTACATTATTGTTCACTTTTGTACATTCTATGGGTCTGTTAGCCATTTTCAAAATCTTTTCATTAAACATATTGTCTCAGACTTTGCTCTGACCCCTTTTTTATTCCTGGGTTTCAGAACCATGTGTGCTCAGTACTGCATCTCCTTTGCTGATGTTGAAAAAGCTCATGTCAACATTCAAGATTTTATTCACCTCACACCAGTGCTAACAAGTTTCATTTTGAATCAAGTAACAGGGCGCAATCTTTTCTTCAAATGTGAACTCTTCCAAAAAACTGGATCTTTTAAGGTAATAATGCCTTTTGATAATGTATCATGTATCTTTTCAAACCTCTTTCCCATACACATTTATTTGATCCTCCTGACCACCCAGTGAGGTAGGTAGAACTATTTTTATAGCTGAAGAAAGGGTTGTAGAAATTTTCCTTTGGTCAAGTGCTGGTTACTTAACATTGTGGTGTTGATAAGCCACTTATAATTTCAAAATTTCTTATAATTGGGGTGATGATATAATTTACTGTCCAAACTAGAACATGTTTGAGAACTTGTTGGTTAAACCGAGACAATAGACATTAGCCTCTGTTATTGCAAGGCAACATGGGCAAGTGTGATCACCCTGTATACAACCAAGTTTAGGCATTCACTTTGTGTCAACTTGCTATTCATTGATACCTTATTATGAATATAAAAGATCTAAATCTAGCTAAGCCCTCATACAATAAGATCTTTTTCTATGAAATATGTCAGAAAAGCATACAACTCTTGATTTTGGGGTTGTGAGTTCAAGCCCCACGTTGGGCGTAGAGATTACTTAAATTTTTAAAAACTTAAAAAGATAAAAGACTTCTGTATTGATTCACTGCAGTAAGTTCTGTTAGTTGAGTTTTAGGATCCTTTCGGGTAAAAATCTGAAAGTTGAATTTAACACTATGCCTGATAGGTATTTGTACCTGTTAAGTCGTAGTTTTAAGACTGCGTTTCCCCACTCATTAATGAGCACTTTATGAGAGTTTATGTTAAACATTATATTCTCTTTTGCCCTTTGCTTCTGCCATGGTTTATTTTTCATTCATTACACATCAAATACTTATTAACTATACTAGGCATACACACATGTATATACATACACAGTAGGTCTTGTACTATTATTCACACTTGCGGGGTAAGACAAGCTAATCAACAACCAGGTTAATGACAAGTAACTTGAAAGATACAAATAAAATACCATGGAATGAAATGCCTAATTTTGCATGGGAGATGAAGGAAGTTGAACCCAGTGATGTTTGATCCAAATTTTATAGGTTGAGTACTTTTAGCCAGATCAGGGTGAAGGAAAAGAACTATATGTAGGTAAAGGGGTGTGACCTAAGCTGTAGGAGGGGAACTAAGCAATTTAGGATGGCTACAACAGTGACAGAAGCAGTAAGTATGTTTTAGAAAGACTGCAACTTGTAAGGAATTTGTACTTACAAAATAGGCATCAATAAAAAGATAACATTTTTAAAAGGTCACTTTCATAATCTAGTGGAAATATTAGAGAATGATCCTTGGGGCAGGATCAGTTGAGGTTTGGTAACATGCAAGTTGAGAAATGAGGCTTCACCAAGGTAGTGGCAAAGACATGAGATATTTCAGAGGTACAATCAATAAGATTTCGTGATAGAATGGATGTGCGGTGTTAGGAAGAGAAAATCTAGGAAAGCTCCTTGGTGTTTTGAAAAGAAACTTTTTAATCAAATACATGGTTTCACCATCCCTCTTCCAGATTCGTGGTGCCCTTAATGCAATCAAAGGCTTGACTCCTGCCACCTCAGAAGAGAAGCCCAAAGCTGTGGTTACTCACAGCAGTGGAAACCATGGCCAGGCTCTCGCCTATGCTGCCAAATTGGAAGGTACTTGACTAACTTCTCAGGGTACTGGGTAGGATCATCAGAGAAGAGTGGAAAAGTATTCTTACTCAGTGAGATTGGTGATTACTGTGAGATTATTTCCAGGTTCTTATCTCATTAAAGCAAATTGAACAGAAGTTTCTATCCTAAATTCTTCTGATTTGTACTAACTAAACGTGTTTCTCCCCCCCCCAGGGATTCCTGCTTATATTGTGGTGCCCCAAACAGCTCCCAATTGTAAAAAATTGGCAATACAAGCCTATGGAGCCGCCATAGTGTACAGTGAACAGAGTGATGAGGTAAGGAGGAGAGCAGTGTTCAGCGTCACCTTAACAACTTCACCATCAAATGAAACTTCTCTTCCTAGCCTACCAGCTGTTCCTTCTATCTCCTGTTTCTTCACCTTTCAATGTTAGCATACCCAACCTTTTGTCTACCTATACTCACTCAGATGAGATCATTAATCTCAGTTTAAAATATCACCTATACTCTGGGGTGCCTGGGTGGCTCAGTCAGTTGGGTAACCAACTCTTGGTTTCAGCTCAGGTCATGGTCTCAGGGTCGTGGGATTGTGCCGTGTGGGGCTCTGCACTTAGCAGGGAGTCTGCCTCTCTCTCCCTCTGCCCCTCCCCCTGCTCTCGCTCTCTCAATTAAATAAAATCTTTAAAAAATATATGAAAAAAAATATCACCTGTACTCTTAACTCCAGTCCTGACCTTTGCTTTGCCTTTGCCTTAACCCAGACTTATACTGTCCAATGATTACCTGATATTCCCTCTTGGACTGTCTTAATAGGCATCTCAAACTTACCATGTCTAAAATCAAACTCCTGATCTTCCTCCCCAGTGCTGCTCCTCTTCCAGTCTTCCCCATCTCAGTAAATGGCAACTTTTATCCTTCTAGTTGCTCAAAATAAATGAAGTCATCTTTGAGAATTCTCCCACACCCTGCATCCAAATCTTAGTCCTACTTTCAAATCATTTCTATTATCCAGGGCACCTGGCTGGCTCAGTTGGAAGAGTATGCGACTCTTGATCTCAGGGTCATGATTTCAAGCCCCATGTTGAATGTAGATAACTTAAAAATAAACAAACTTAAAAAAAATATCGTTTCTATTATCCAACTACTTCTAACAGCCTTTGTCATCAATGCCCTAATTCAAATGAACATCAGTTTTCACCTAGATACAGTAGCCTAAGTGGTCTCTCTCCTTCCACCCTTGCCCAACTAGTGTTTTCTAACAAACAACCACAACTATCCATTTAATAAGTTAAAACTTGTCTTGTCAGCTGAAAATCCTCTAATGGTTTCCCATCTTATACACAGTGGTAACCAAAATTCTTGCAATCATTTAAGGCCTGGATGAATTGGCCCATTTCAATCTTTCTGACATCATCTCCCATTATTACTGTCCCACCAAACATTCCACACCAACCACACTAACTTAGCCTTTTCTCAGAAAAGCCAAGCACTCCTACTTTGTGGTCTTTGCACTTGCTATTTTTCTCCCCCTGGAATATTCTGGAGATCCACAGCACTTGTTCAAACCTATTAAAATGTCACATTACCAAAGGCCCTTCCTGAACACCCTCTATTAAACAGACTTATTCTCCATAGCATTTAGACATACCATATATTCACTTATATGCCACCCCTCCCCATCGTATTAGAACATAACTCCACTGAGTACAGGGACTAGTTTGTTCACTGTTACATCCCCAGTGCCCAAAAAAAGTCTGAAAAAAGAAAGATGGCTAATAAAGTGTTAAATGACTAAATCTAACTTGTTGGGAACTCTTAAATACAAAACAAGCATGTTGGTTTAATGTACTCTTTCAGTCCAGAGAAAATGTTACAAGAAGAATTATGGAAGAAACAGAAGGCATCATGGTACATCCCAACCAGGAACCTGCAGTGATAGCTGGGCAAGGGACAATTGCCATGGAAGTACTAAATCAGGTTAGAGCTGTTAATTCTTGTTTAGCCACTGGTAAAGCTGCTGTTTGGCTGTACAATTATTTTATGTACATATAAAACTGGTTATTAATAGACCTATTTATACTTTATATTCTTTTCACTAAAGGTACCCTTGGTAGATGCGCTGGTGGTACCTGTAGGAGGAGGAGGAATGGTTGCTGGAATAGCAATTACAGTTAAGGTAAAAAAAAAAATAGCTTCTGGAGAACTCCCCACTTCAGACATAGAGAATTTTATTTTACATCATAGTACATTGCGGATACTTGGCTCAACATTCCCAAATGCTGTTCCTTCCCATCAACCCTTGGCACTTGAAATGAAAGGCTCTTCTCTGCCTCACTACCCTGTTCTTAATCTGTAACAGCTTTACAGGGCAAAAGCAGTTACAATGAGTGGCATCCTCACAGTCCTTTCTCTGAATTCCACCTCAACAACCCACTATCCAAGTCAGGGGCTACTCTTTTCCCTAGTTACCAGTAGAACCAGATGTGATCTAAGCAACTACAGGCTAGTATTAGGCATATTCTTTAAAATGTTTGGTCTATTTTTATTACATCAATCAAGGGAAAGGCTCTTGAACAGAAATGAGTTACCTATATTGCCTATTTTACTACAGGTATGCAGGCAAAATGCTGTGGCTGGTTTTAAAATGTCTAATATTCCTCTTCTCAGGCTCTGAGACCTACTGTGAAGGTATATGCTGCTGAACCCCTGAATGCAGATGACTGCTACCGGTCCAAGCTGAAAGGGGAACTGACTCCTAATCCCTATCCTCCAGAAACCATAGCAGATGGTGTCAAATCCAGCATTGGCTTAAACACCTGGCCTATTATAAGGGACCTTGTTGATGATGTCTTCACGGTCACAGAGGATGAAATTAAGGTGAGGCTCTGATAGGAAAGGAAAATACGAAAGAATGGAGCAACTTCTTGGGCAAGAGAGTCATCTGTTGAGTAGCAACTTACTCCCTGGGGACCTAACTACGTGACTTCATGATGTGGGATGGTGCCCCAGATGTATTAAGACAACCCTCCCAACAGTAGAAGCAGAGTTAGAATGGGAAAAAAGCCCTGCCTTTCATTGGCGAGCATATACATATGGCCCGGAAGAAAAGGCCAGACTGGGTATATAACCCCATCTGGCCTTTAATTGTAAATAGGCTCTTTCCCCTTTTCCCATTTCACTAATTCTTACTGCCTTCCATACCAACAGTATGCAACCCAGCTGGTGTGGGAGAGGATGAAACTGCTTATTGAACCTACAGCTGGTGTTGGAGTCGCTGCTGTGCTGTCTCAGCATTTTCAAACAGTTTCCCCAGAAGTAAAGAACATTTGTATTGTGCTCAGTGGTGGAAATGTAGATCTAACCTCTCTAACTTGGGTGAAGCAGGCTGAAAGGCCAGCTCCTTATCAATCTGTTTCTGTTTAGTTTATGCAAAAGAGATGGCATTCAGTATCTCTAAACACTCGGAAATTTTGTTTCCTGGTTACTTTAACTTCTATATTCCTCTCTTAAACAGCTTTCAAATTCCTAATGGAGAGTGGATGTTTCAGTAATAGTTGTTTTTTCTTTTTTAACTAAGTAGCAAGAGAAAAACATCCATAGTTTACTGAGATACCTTGTCAAGGCCAAGAAAAGCCTTTTGCAAAAAGGCAGTAGACCTCTAGGCTAAAGTAGAAAACACAAACTTTGCCTAATTACAACCTGTAGGCTCCCATCCCTAGAGTGTTTCCTAGTAACAATGAGACAGAATCCCAATGAATCCATTACTCCATGTCCACTTCAGGCACTGCTAAAGAAATCTCACTTTTCATCCATGGTACTGGTTCTGGTACACATGGATCATAAGTCCATTTGGGGAAAACTCGTTTATAGAGGTTCATCAGTACTGTGTCCTGAGATTTTAGCTTCCCATCAAAACTGCACTTCATGTGGCCATGAGTACCTAGAAAGAAAACAGCAAGTTGGTCAAATTAAAATAGAAAATTTTAAAGCAGTAGTCTTCTAACCCAAGAGTCATTTAGTAGCACTGGGAAAAACTGGGCAATGAACCAAATCCCATGTTTTCTTACCCAAAGGCTCCTTGATGTGTCCCCTGCGGCCCCACTTTGTTCTCAGTTCCACTGGTTTAAACCACAACACATCCTCTTAGAATGAAACACATAGAAGACCAAGATGAAACATACCCACAAAACGTAAACCCAACCCTCACCCCACAAAGGCAATCTGATCCCATCCTTCACACCTACCTCTGTTGAAGAACATGTAACGCACTACTGCCATCTTAGTAAGAATTCTGAAAGGATGACCACTCAAAACAACTCTTTTGATGACCATTCTGTCCGGATCCACTGACAGGAGAGAGCCTGTGGCAATGAGGCTGTGCATTCCTAAGGAGCAAAAGCAGAGCAGCAGGCATGTAAGCCAAGGCCTTCATTTGTTGCTCCAGTTCATTTAAAGACCTAAACAAACTCTTAGAGAAACCGTAAAGTAGGATTATGTTATGCTGCCCTCCTGAATCAATGGCAAAGATCATTAAAGGATATTCCCACTAAGCCTGGCCCCAGAACCTATCCTAAATATAACTGTCTGAGCATCTACCAATTAGCTATGCTTTGTAAGCAAGATAAAACCCCATTTGTCATCCTTACCTCAGACCATCGTGAGGCTGAGACTGGGATGTTTCAAAAACTATCATTACCTTCTTCATACCAAATAGCTCTTAAATCTAAACACAGAAAATAGTTTTAAACCTATAAAGGACCTGCAGGCCTGTTCACCTCAGTGAACTTAACTTACCATTGCTATTCTGTTTGAAAAGCAGCACAGATGCAGGTGGAAACGTGATTGGGCCATATACTGTCACCACCAAGGCCACATCAGCAGTCAGGAATCTCTGAAACTTATGTTTATCTGCTACCATAATAGGGGTTAAAAAAGAAAAATGAAAACGCTTTTCAGAAACCATAGGTAATCTAGAAACCTGTGAAAAGCTGTATCACTGTAACTCTTAAACCGAAGGCAACTTATGTTTCTTTACCAGGCTAGTTCTCAAAATATTTTCCTACCTCAATACAACTGAAAGATACAACTCAGTTCTTCAGAGTGATTTTTCAACTGGAGGCAGAATTTTGGAGCTTGGACTATATTTAGGGTTTGAAAAAATTCTCCAGATGATTGATACTTATCACCCCTACACCTCATTTGAGAAACCATGCTTTACAGAGAATATCTCCACTAAATCAACAGCTCTTAGTTTTGGGAAAGGATTGGCAGACATTTTCTATAAAGGGCCAGTTAGTAAATATTTCAGGCCTGTGGCCATACAGTCTCTATTTCAACTACTACTCAATTGTACCACTAGAGCAGAAAAATAGCCACAGACAATACGTAAGAAAAAAACCCCACAACTGTGTTCCAACAAAATTTTATTTAACAAAACCAAGAGGTGGGGCAGATTTGGCCTAAGGGCCATACTTTGCTGATCTCTGATCCTGAGGCCTACCTAAGCTTCTGCTTTAATCTTCAATGAAACCCTCCCCCCTTCTAAATACTAAAGTTATAGGAAAATAAAATATTTTAAGGGAAAGAGGTTTATCACTCATTTAGATAGCATGGCTAGTAAGAACAAAAATTATCCAGAGCATCCATTAATACTGCCTTCATCATCTTCCTCCAGCCATTGCTGAGAGCTGAATGTGTACAGGTGATGTTCAGAAGCCTCCAAGTTAGTGCAAAGCATATTCCCACTCCTAATGTGTAGGAGTATAATCATTTTACCATAAAAGTGTCCCTGGTCACCACTCTTCAACATCTAGTCTCAACATCTCAGATGCCAGCCACATACCTCTCTTACCCAACTGTGGGCCACCCTTAGCCTTCACCCACACTGCCACTGACCATCCGATGCCAAGGGTTCTACACTTTGACACCATTTTATAGAGCCCCTGACTCCCATTCAAAACCACTTTGCAACAAATACTCATGGCAGAAAAGCCTCAGCACCACATAGAGGTTGCATCACTGGGATGCTTCAGACCGGTTCAGACATTGTGAATAAAAGCATCATTGGCTCCTAGACCAGAGTACTGAAAATATCCCTAACCCAGAAACCCAGAGTTTGAAATTGTGTATTCCACACACCCCCACCACAAATCATAGTCCCCCAGAAGACATTAAGATGGACAAGAAGCCAGAAGCTTCCCCACTGCTTTACCTGCAGTGTGCTGAGAGAATAAAGGTGAGGCTCGGAAGCGCCTGAACCCACAGTGGAAGATCAGCTCCTCTTTGGCTTTCACAGGTTCAGTGTTGCCAGAGTGCCGGCTCACCACCATATTCAGTACTGACATCTGGGGACCACATAAGAAAAAGAGACCTTCGTATATAAAATAGAGCAGCCTTAATTGAAAGAAGGTGAACCAAACTAGCAGGTTCAGATTCCCTTTAATACTTTCTTATGGAGAAGTATAGCTGACAAAACGAGATTCACCTTTTACATTTACCGACAACTGGTATTCAAGTCAAACATAGGCTGGTTTTCAGAGCCTTTCACGTATCCTATACAAGCTAACCTTCCGGTGTCTAACATTGCAAAAGCTCAACATCTGCCACAAAATCAGTGCCTTCAAGTCACTCACTCAGCACATGCCTCAAAACCATAATCATTCAAGACCCTTCCTCCTCGATTCTCAAACTGACCAAAGGCCAGAGCTCTCACATCCATGCCCACACACATGACTGCTGGCCACCAAGATAAAAAAAGAGATCTACGTCGTGGCATAACCCCCACCCCCTTTAAGGCTGCCAACCCTTGGTTAAAATCTTATCTGATGAACATACTTAGAGAAGTCTCAGAACACAGAGACTGCATCAATGAGATGCTTCAGACAGGTTCAGACATGTTGGGTAACACCATCATTGACTTCTCTATCATTTTCTTTTGATTCCTAATCCTAAAGCAGATTTTTCCGATCCCAATGAGGAAAATGTCAGCCACATAAAATTTTAGACTGTCATACAATACAAAACTGATTGGAAAGTTTCATAACTCACCATTTCCCACAAGACACTAACTCACCTTCTGTTCATGAGGTAGTAAAGAAAATGCAATCAAGGGTGCTCCTTGTTTAAAGTACTCATACACTGAGACAGGGACTTTAGAGACATGAAGTGTGACATACCAGCCAACCTGCCAGAAGAAAACAGAAAATAATCATGCAGTTACCCTTGAGGTCTCAATAATGATGAAGCATTTCTCCAAATATGTTAAAAGTTATTTAGACTACTCTAAAGCCTACTCTCATCCTTCAAAACTGCCTTTCACAGATGCCTCAATACATGGATTAAACTTTTTCAGTTACCATCTGAAATCTCTTTGTTCTCAATATCACTCTTACCAGTGACTCACTGACTCCTTTAATTCAGCTATGGGCAGCACAAACCTAAGGTACTCATGCCAAGAGAAGGAGTAAAGGACAGGGCACCTTGGCAAACAGAAGTACATTATAAGGATGGACAAAGGAGGGCAGATACCTCAGCTCCTTCAACATCTTTTTCCTCAATTTCTTTAAAAATGCGTTTCCTAGTATTAGTAAAGTTCTGAAACTGAAAGATCCGAGCATAATCTTGAGGAAGGTTTTCCTTAGGATCCCATGGAGATGTCCGGAAGCTCTTGAGGCCTCTGTATTTCTGAAATCTAGATAGAGGAGATTTTAATAAACCTTTACACTATCTCTCAAGATAACCTAACAGCCTAAAACCAACAGGGGCGCATGGGTGGCACAGCTGGTTAAGCGTCTGACTCTTGGTTTTGACTCTGGGTCAGAATCACAGGGTCCTGGGATCGAGCCCCATGTCAGGCTGTGCATTCAGCATGGAGTCTGCTAGGGATTCTCTCTCTCCCTCTGCCCCTCCTGCTCATACTGTCCCTCTCTCTCTAAAATAAATAAAATCTTTAAACAAAACAAAACAAAAACAAAAAACAAAAAAACCAGCTTCTAACGAGTATTTTCAGAACCAAGCCCCAGTCCCTCACTGACAAAGTCCTTACAATGGCTCCTTCAGGGAGCAGCTCTTTAATCTGGCAAACAAGGTCCTTGATAAAAGTCTTACCTCCCTAATATCCACCATAAACCCTCTGGCTTTAGTCACTCGCCTCCAGAACAGACAATGATCATCTACTCTTCATGCGTTTATTCTTGCCCAAACTCCCCCAAATCTACAAATGTTTTATACTTTTAGTATTAGCTCCTATAGGAAGCATTTGCTGATTCATCTTAGTATTTTTCTTTCATTACAGTACTGTAACATTGTTAGTCTTTACCACACAGTCTAGAACTTGATTATATATTACTGTTTCCTGTATGTGCGTTTTATTTTCCCATATAAAATGTTAGCCCTTCAGGAGCAAGGACAATGTGTTTTCTTCTTTTGCATCACACTGACATAGTTCTGAGCCACATAAATTTGAAATAAAAACATACTGATTTTAGACTTGCTGACTAACCGAATTCTTGCAGCCACATCACGGGGGGTATCTACTTCATCTGGAAACATCTCTTGCAGTCTTTCTTGTTTATATTTCTCCCACATTTTTTCCTCAGCCTCATCATCGACATTCTCATCATCCAGATCATCATGCACAGACTCTCCCATAGTCATAGTTTCATATTCCTCCTCTTCCTTTTCACTGCCCTCATCCTATAGAATAAAGATTATAGTTTCACACCTGTCTCTACCTTACAGGCCACTGAACTAGAAATAAAATAATTTTGGGGCGCCTGGGTGGCTCAGTCAGTTAAGCGTCTGCCTTTGGCTCAGGTCATAATCCTGGAGTCCCCAGATCGAGCCCCATGTTGGGCTCCCTGCTCAGCAGGGAGTCTGCTTCTCCCTCTTCCCCTTACCCCACTCGTGCTATAATAAGTAAATAAAATCTTAAAAAAATAAATAAAATAATTTTACTAGACACCCAGTCCAAACCAACATCAATTCTAATACAGATTGAGACAAAGTCTCATTTCTGGCAGTTACAAGTCATTCCTAGGAAACTGATCACACACACACCTCCAGGATTGCACTTTGCCTTGCACATGGGGCTGTACACAGAAGTGGCCCAAGGATCCATTTCTTTACCTGAGATTCCTCTTCAATAAAATCCTCATGTTCCATATCATCATATTCATCTTCCCCACCACTTTCACCATCCTCATCCAAAATCCATTCAGCTTGGTAATTGGATGTCCCTTTGGGAACCTTCTTTACCACCTTGGAACTTTTCTTCAAGAAGTCTGTAAAAGC